ACGGCATACGAGATGCGGTATTCCACGTGATAAGAGTCCGTGATCGAAGTTGACTGAGAGAGATTCAACTCGAAGGCAGTCCTTATGGACCGCTTAGGATCATTATGCAAGACCTTAATAATGCATATATTACAACACACTTCACACTTCCTTGAGTACAGACTGCGTGACCAGCAAATCGCGGCACTAAAAGTTTAAACGAAGAAAAAGGGCTCGAGATTCCCTCGTGGACGGAATACAGTCAATCCTCCCCAGGATGAGGCAGGCGAATTTTCTTAGGACATCTGTTATTACACACTTTTTTAGTGTGAAGAGCAGCAGACGAGGTAAACCCCATAGCCACGAGGACCAGCTGTTCAGTAATGGAATCCGGTAACACAAACCCCAAAGCTTGGAGTGACGAACCACGAAAGGCCCCGATAGGTTGTGTAGTATTGAGCCGGACGACAGCAAAGCTGCCTACCACCAAAATTGGGTGTTGGCGGTGGGGCTCAAACCTCGGACCATAGGGTCCAAAGCACGCCGGTGATAGCGACTATACCATTACGCAACCAGGTGTGAACAGCAAAGCGGCGATGTGTGGAAATATTGTATTGTATTTTATTCAAGCTTTAGCGAGTTATATATACAAGCTTTCAGCCAAAAAATAGACTACCGTTACAATTCTGGTAAAAACAGGGGGAAAAGTGGGATGTGAAAACGTACAAAGGTATGAGTTAATTACCAAATGCATTAGAAAGCTCAGAGCGAACACTTTCCTTGTCGGTCAGTATCCGCGCAAGATAGGGTACCAAAGAGTTTCTGTATGCGGATATGCGAGATGGGATAAGTTTGTACTTGGAACGGGTGCAGGGGTGGGATTGGCATGCACACAAGTCAGTGTGTAGAGGATGGGTGCAATCAGATAGGATATTGTCAGGAACCTTTAAGCATGCATCAATATGGGCATTACACATATTGCCAATCAGAACAGATAATGGAACTTGGGAGACACGGCTGATCACTGAGAGGCCACGCCTCAGCAACTTGAAATCAGCCTTTAACAAACCAGGGAGCTTACAGGAGAGCAATAAAGGGGTATAGGGACGACACATTGTTGAACGAAAGTGTTTATCACCGACGAGTCAGAACAGAATTGGCGCAGTCT